TTAAAAGATTTAATTTGAAACCTGACCACTTTTTGAATTTTTAATGTGGCTACCTAATTGTAGAATCTGAAGGAGATTTATTGAAACTAATATGTTGTTCATATTTTCTGTATTTTAACATGATTAAAAGTATAAATAACTAACTAAAGCTTTATTAGTAGTTCCCTGCCTAGTCAAACAATTTAGTATTCACTTTCATTACCTCATACATTTCCTAAGGCTAATGTTATCCACAACTCAAGAAATGTTTATTATGTTATATTCAATTCTTTCAGTCATTTTTCCATTTATTTGGCGACTACGTATTGCATATTGTATTGTAATTTTCACTGGACACCCAGTAACAAGCTAATGTACTTATCCACTTTTGTCAACAGTTTAACAATCATGATGAAAAAGCTTAAATTTAATAAAGTTAGGCCATGAAACAAGATTTTCAATGAGAATTTTTCTCTAATATGCAATAATTATTAAACGAACAAGATAGTAACTGAAGTTGATGAATAGTGTACATGCTAAGAAAAGGTATAAGTTGTGAATGATGCTATGCTATTAAAACAACTCACGTTACTCATATATATAACCAGTGGTAGATGTTATGATCAGTAATATTCAGAAAGATATTGTTTTAGAACTGAATTTAGATTGTTTAATGGAAAAATGCTTCATTTTTCTCAACGAACAACACTTAAGTGACTAATAGTAGTCTATGAAAACTCATTTAATATAAAAGTGTTCAACATTTTAATCATGTTTTATAGTATCAATCGAATAATCTTTTGACAAATAATCTATTTAAAAATTTATTAATGAAATACTGCATTGAACTATGCAGTTTATTGAAGAGTAATCCAAAATATTTTGTCTATAAATTTTATCTATAAATAAGCTCAGATTATGCAATATTTAACAATGGTTAACTTTGGGAAGCAAGTTTTCCATGGTATATGATCAGTTAAATGTTCACATTTGATTGGGTGCACGTTGATGTGCAGTATTTTCCATAAAACAAATACATATTATCAATATTAGAACTATTTTTTCATGTACGGTTTTTTTTGTCAAATAACATTAGTTGGACATAAATTTTGAATTTGAAGTTTATCATTACAATTAAGTGTATTTTAATCAGTGATAGTTGTTCAGTCAACTAATCAAAGAACCGATTCAGAAATAACATTTTGAACAGCTTTGAAACGCGATTAGTTAGTTGATAAAAAGTTAGCCTAATTTACACAAAGATGTAAATAAATATAATTTACTCATTGTTCAAGTTACCTGAGGAGCTAGAAGAAAGTCGATTTCTTGTTTAATGCATTTGAGTTTCAGAATCGCTTAAATCATTTTTACTGTATATAAAATTCATTTAATTGAGGTTATCTCAAATATATGCAATGGTGATCAACCAATCGATTTAAGTTAGAATAAGGACAGTTTTCTTGATAGCTACAGTAGTTAAATGATATCAGTCGCTTATTTCTTATTCGGCTAACATTTAGACTCGGTGTTTAGTCAGTATTGTCAATTTGGTCACAAAACAATGAGTTATTAATTTAGCTGTTGTGATGATCAAACTGTACTTATACATACAAAAAGATATAATCAGAATACCTATACACACAACTTTGACCACTGACGAATTGGTAAGCGAATGGAATTACTAGTTTTCCTTCAAAATCTTATCATGATGTACAGTTTTCCAAATGACATTTGTCACTAACTATTATTTTTTATGAGTTACCATAAGTGAGAAAAAACATTGTACAAATAATGATAGCTTGAAGTGATGTGACCAAGTGACGCTGATTCACGAAAACCAGATCATTGATATGACCATTCACATCACTATTGGAAGTTTATCAAGGGATAAGACAAATGGTCAACGAAATTAAATTATTTTACATGACTCAATGAAACATTTGTTTATAAAAGTGGGATAAAAAATTGACGTGAATGAAATTCTTAAAAAAATGTTTGTTGTAGGATATCTCTCTATAAATCATTCAATCGAGTTTAATAATATGATCTAAATATCAGGCTATTTTCAAATTAGGATAATCAACTCTACGATCCCTACTCATATTCACAGTGTAATCTTTAGTTCCAGTGAGAGGTCGTAACCAATGGAGTTCAGTGGGTGTCAGGTGTGAGAAATTTATCCACTTTAGACAATGAATGAAAGGTTGCGCAACATCATGGATTGATTGAAGTTTGACATTAACACCGCTGGATGTTGACTCAGTGTTTTAGACTGAGACCAAAAGACTCTGGGTTCGATTCCGAAGTGAGCAGTCGTTGATGGGTACTTCTGAATATAATCCCATACAAGACTAAATGACTGTCTTACACCTTCAAGTTTCCAATGATTGTCTAGCTAATGTTAGTTTGTGATATCAGTTGTGACGACAATAGATTCTCCACAAATTCTGTATACAAATATTTATGCTTACGTTATGGATATGGTTATATAAATTCTTCATTAGCTGTAAAATGTTTAACCTATATATATATATATATATATATATATATATATATATATATATCATTTTTACCCATCTTAAGTATTTTTGTGGTACGGTTACGCAACCAAATAGCATAAAATGAGATGTCATGTGTTTGTACTGGTGAGTCATTCAGAACAACCGTTCATTACTCAATAATTTTCTCAGTGTATCTCCATTTGACTAGTATAACGTTATCATTTTTTTTCATGTAAATATATATTTACACCAAAGATTCTCATCGTTAAACCTAGAAAGTTTATAAAATTATACAAACTCTTTGAGAAATCTCTTATTAACTTATCATAAAAAATACATAAATGTCAAGATTTTCTGCAAAAACAACCTTCAAGCAATAGAAAGTGAGTTGAATGAAAACTAAAGATCGGCAAAGTTAGTGGTTTTAATCACTTTGGCATTGAATTCACAGGTGAATAATAATCTTGAAATTACCAATTGAAAACTGACAATTACTATCTTGTATTATTTATTTTCTCTTGTTTACATAAAGCATAAGGCCTAAGTAGTATTTTATGAAAATTAGTTAAAATTTCTAAGTCACTGTTGTTTTTCGCCCTTAACATAATCGGATATTTGTGAAATTGTATTACGCTTCTTTCTTGATCAACCATTATTTATGTAATTGAAAGGAGTCTAATTTTCCTATTGTCTGTTTCTATTATTGTCAGTGGTAATTAAAAAAAATTATTTTATAAAAAAGGCCTGGTTTTCAAAATTGAAGGATTACAATGAAAAACTAATCAACAAAAATGACCTGATTATATCCAAATTTATTATTTACTTACTTGTGTATTAATTTCAAGAGTAATTCATTTAAGTAAACTCATTTCAATGCATAGATATTGCATGAATAATTATAGTCTCCAATTTTACAAATAACAAACAGATTATTTCAATTTATGAAATAAAACAGTTACGTACTGAAAGTATTATAATTATATTTATATATGCATGAACTATAACCCTATTAATCTAAAAGCGTACTTCTTAAATGTCATAATTAATTCAGCTGAAAAGAATTAACAAATAAATAACATAGGCAAACTGAAATAACAACACCGACAGCTAATGTGCGTTTAACAAGTAATTTATACATTATTGCTATGTATTAGAGTTTAGTAGATTGTGATTACTCAGCTAAGCCGGTGTAATAAAACTTTTAAACGTAGACAATGAACTCATGAATTTTGAGATGGTGGAGAAAACTTGTATCTCAGGTGGATGATTGTGGTGGTGTTTCGTTCTCTGAGCTGGTTGTTTTGGTTGTGGAGCTTTCATTGTTCTTCTGAACAACATCATCAGCACGACAGGTCAAAGGTCAACAGCAACCAATCAAGATCGAGGTTAGCAGAACAAGCTACAGGTCAAACGTGGAGAAATTCGAATGCTTCACTTCTATCTGAAGTTCGTGCTGATGATGTTGTTCAGAAGAAAAATGAAAGCTCCACAACCAAACCAACTAGCTCAGAGAATGAAACACCACCTCGAACTCATGAATCGATTAATATCCGGCCACCATTAGAAACTTGGAAGCAATGGACGACAGTTTCGTCCTTGTATGGAACTTATCAGCTCCTGAATCGGAATTTAGCCTAGTACCTTCGGTCTCGCGCGCGGACGCTTAATCTCTGGAAGACTGAGCCGGCATCCAATGGTGTAAATGTATGACTTCAATCAGTCCATGACATTGCACGACTTCATTCATTGTTAAACTTTATTGGCCAAGTCTTCTCACTAGAACTCCGAGAATTTCCTCATGAAGCTAGTCCCTAGTGAGCGAATGATATTTGTCGGGATAATATATATATATATATATATATTTATACATTCCAAGAATTGAATGTGATCTTAGGCACGAAACAATGGCAAAATTTTATAAATACTGTATAATTTTATCATAAATTGGTGAAGATTATTTTATAAATAACCTAAAGCAACATTATTAACAAAGTAGATAAAAGTATTTAAACTGTAGTTAAGGCAAATCTCAACATCTGACACGATATCCAAAATCACCATTTAAGTATTAATGTACAATCGGAAATTATTGTTATCAGTTCATTGGTTTATGGATTAACTGACTTAGTATAGCCACAAACCATCATCATTTGATCTCAAGTCAAAATTACTTTAAGTTCATTTATAAACGTACACAAATACATAGTAGATATATAGATTTATACAAGTCAATACATAGGGATAAATTAACTGAATTCTTACTAAACAATCATACAAACCAAAAGCCATATTAATTCATTAAAGGATTCATAAAAAGAAACTAACCAAAGTAGGAACATGCTTATTTAGGTTACATTCTCACATAGATTGAATAATGTGGTACAGATAGAATCCAGTTTTTGAGTCATCAAAGATTAGACATTACCACAGTAATGTGAAATATTTTTAGTAAAGAGTACCGTAACAAATAATTATTCTACACACTGTATATACTATATGTGATTATACCCAATTGAGACAATGGATCTAGATTATAAATACAACGCGTAAGCCATCTTGATTTATGACTCAGATATATTTTATACATTAAATAAAAGGAATCTAAAAAAAATCGAAATCATACTCATTTAAACAAGATTTTTTTTCTGAATCAAATTAAGTTGGAATTGAAGACCAGTTCGTGATGTAAACTATGACACTATCGATATTGTTTCCTAATCAGATAATGGAGATAACGGGTAGAAATAACCAATAACATTAAGATGACTCATTATTAACCAAACCGTTTATCCATTATTTTAAAAAAATTCTTGTCTTGTACAGGCTGGCTTGAGTGAATTACAACCTAGATTTCAAGTTCGGTGATGTTATTTCCTTTAAAATATATTAAAAAGGCTTAGTTAATTATTCGTTTGTACTGACAGTTTGAATCGCTCCACTGACTGTAAGGAATGCAATTGATCAGTCTCAGTTTAGCATATATACATCCTGTAAGGATTGCCTGTACATAGCCATTACATCACAATCATTACACGCAGAGATGGATAGTCGCTAGCAGTGGGATTTTTGACTCATGATTTGTCCTATTTGTGACTTGTCAATTGGATGTACCAGTATTTCAGAGGTAATGTTCACTTTGGGACTCGAACCCGGTGCTTTTCGCTTCAGTCGCAATCACGTTTTCTACTTAGCTGTCTAGACACTGCTTAGTTAATTATTGTCTTCATCTCCAAGTCTTCTTTTTAAAGTTCAATCAAACAATAGAATATTACTAATTTAATGTATAACGGAGGTCATTTTATTGAAGTTTGTGAATGTTTTCATTATTTTCTAACAAAACACTTCTTTTGTCTTAAATTAGAACACAAAAAATTGATTTTTTCAAACTAAATCCAAATGATCATCTCTTTTAGTTTATTTGTTTGATATAACTTAAATTGGAAATATAAATCTTTAGAAAATATTATCACTTAAGAATTCTATAGTCATCGCTAGACTATTGTGAACGCCTTATTACAGCGCAGTTAAAAAAATCTCAATTTAGCCGTGTTTATTTAAGCTATCATATAAAATAGCAAAATTCCTTAGTTGAGTACTTATTTTAGTTCGCCGCTTAAGGTCCCTAATTATCATGTTTCGAGTAATATCATGTACTTTTTTTGCACGGATTTTTCAGTTCGTGTTCTTTTTTTCTTGAGATTATATTCTTGGGGTATTTATGCTGGGTTAAGAACAAATCTTACACAAATATTGCTTACCTGACTATCAATAATCCAACATTTCAACAAGTGGTAAACATTTCACACAGAATATGATAAGACCAGATCCTACCATTGATTATTTATGTCCTCAATAAAGAAAACTGTTGTGATCAAAAATTTATTGAGTAAATATTATTTTTACAACCATGGAAAATGCATACTAAAATAGTTGAAAGTAAAAACTGAGGAGAAAAATATCGAAGAGAAGTTCAAGAATTTCTGTATTCCTTTTTACAGTATCTTGATTATTAGAAATTGTTACTCATCGGTTATACAAAAATCATCAAACGAAAATGTCCAAGATCAAACTATCTCAGATACGTTACCTACACAATGTGCACTTTTGCCAGATCAAAATTATCTTAGTGTACTGCCTGGATTTGGATGGGATAATTTGGTTAATCGTGAACGCGGTCCTATAATAGATGTGGAGAAATACTCCATGTGCCGACGTTCTGCCGATGGGAAGTTCATGATCCCGGATGATATAACTGTTCGTATGTAATCAATTTTTAATATTTTTATATTTCAATTGTTATTGAAAAAAACAAACATTGTATTCAGTATTTTAGTTATTTGTGTTATTAGATTATTCGTATGTAGTAAAAAGCTGACCAGTAAACTTTTATTACGAATTTCATCACACGTTCAATTATTATACCAAACTAATTTTTACAGAAAAATAAGCTATTATTTATAGTTGTATTATCCAAACTATTACTTTGAAAGTACTAATTCATATTCATATGAAACGTATATATATATATATATATATATATATATATATATATATATATATATATATGAGGTGGTGGAGAAAATTTGTAGCTCATGTGGATGACTGTGAAGGAGTTTTGTTCTCTGAGCTGGATGTTTTGGTTGTAGAGCTTTCATAGTTCATCTGAACAACATCATCAGCACATACCAAGAGATAGAAGTGCTGTATTTGAATTTCTCCACGTATGACTCGAAGCTTGTTCTGCCAAAATCTATTATAACTCATGGATTTATGCCTAACAGTATACTTCCAATTCAACAACAAAATCTTAAAACAAACGAAAGGAACACCATTGGAATCACCGATAACAGAACTTATCTCAGTAGCCGTGATATAGAGACTAGAAGCGTGAACAAATGTGCCAAAGCTCAACTAATGAAGTTTCAATACTTCATCAACTGATTTGTCATCCTCACATAGTTCTAGTTTCCTAACAGCAACTTTGTTTACTCGATAGTCCCAGGATATACGAGCAATGCTGTTGCGCAGTACAGTCGTCCTTTGGTTAGCGGACGAATTTCTTGCCTTCGACATAAAGGACGCAAGTTGGCAAGAGCCAATCCAGCCTTCTATATCCGTGCTGAGATTTCGTCAGACAGAAAGTCATCAAAACTTAAAAGGCTCCCAAGATAAGTGATACGGTAAAAACACTCAACGGCTTCACTCTTTATCATCAGTTCAGGTACCAACAGTGCCAATCCTGAAGCAACATTTTGAATTCTAAGTCAACAAACGAATTTCTTTGTAAAACATCAACTCCTGAAAAGACACACGATGAAAGTGTTGTATCTAAAAGCATGTCTACGACAAAGTTAAACAAGAATGGACAGAGTGGACAACCCTGACGGACACCGCTTGAAGAAATCAATTCTGATGATAGTTCGCAATAAGCTCTAACCCGACCAGTAGTATTCGAGTAGAGAGCTTGTATAAGGTTACTGCACTTCTTTGGTGCAAGTTTTAATGATAGACGCTACCACAGAACCTCATGATCGACAGAGTCAATTGCCGCCTTAAGGCCGAGAAATACTACTATTGTGAAACATCTGAACGTGCGTCCTTGTTCTAGGACCTGACATAAAGTGAATATCTGCTCTATACATCCACGTCCAATTCGAAAACCAGCCTGATTTTATCTAGTCTTCTCTTCACGAGATCTAATTCGGTGTCTAAGTATTATCGAGGCTAATAATTTGGACACTATATTTGTTAGGCTAATTCCTCTGTGATGGTCACAAGAGAACTTTTGTCCCATCTTATAAATTGGGTCAATGGAGGATTGAGACCAGTCCAGTTTCCAGATTCTGCCTAATATCCCAGTCAATCTAACTGCTAAACTAGACCACCATCGTTCAAAGCATCAGCAGATAACCAACCTATCAGGTCCTGCTGCTCTACCTCGTTTTAGATTTCCTTCGGCCTTTTCAACCTCATTAAGAGTTGGAGGATTTACATCAACTTGCCACTCAGATTGACTGGAGATCGTGGGTAACTAAAATGTGACTGAAGGCCAGTTAAAATGATCCCTGAAGTTTTCTGTCTGTTGATACAATCTTCTGGATTGAAAACGAATTATAAGCCCATCCTTTTCTGGGATAGTCTCGCTAGCATTTGTATTCCTGATTACGGTTCCCTTGATAATTCTGAATAGTTGTTTACTAAGTTCTTACATGTACAGTAAGTAGAAGAAACGAAAAAGCAATATTTCAGTTGTAATGATTCAGATATATCTTGTTATCTAATATCAATATATACGATAACATTGTCAACGATTTCTTAGTAATTTATTGTTATCAGTTCAGATAAAAACAGAATAAGTCAGCACATCGACTGTACATAATGAAATATTCAATTTAGCTAACTTAAGGATTACGTTATCTGTGCACTTGTGAATATTTAATTAATAATATTGATCATATAATCTATTGAACAACTACCAAATTATAACAATTTCAAACATAGTTCCTTATATGTTAGTTAAAATGTTCGTGATAATAGCCTAACATATATGTACATTATTCTCATCTTCAATGTAGATTAATTTCATCTATAAATATTCAAATATATGTATTTGGCTTTTAGAACCATTAAAGAATTCAGAAATTAAATTATCCTCTGAAGTCTATGAATCAATCAGTCAATGTCATTCATTAATAGCCTATTCGATCAATTCAGTATTAGGTGGTGAATATTCATTTTTTCGTATCAATGGAGATTTTTCATTCGATAAAGAAATATTACGTGAAAAACTAGTAAGTTTTTTAGGTGATTACTATTCATTAAAGTCACATTTTACACTAATTTATCATTTTGTTTTTCATCCAGGCTATTTCATGCTTTGACCTCTATTGCGAAAACACCTCATTCTTCAAATAAACGATTTAAATAGTTATCAAGTATGACAGGTTTCTAATGGTGGTTTAACAATGATTGATTGATGAGTTCAGTTGTGTAAAAACACAAACCTCCAAAACTCTGCCCCCAAATATCGTAACAGTGCTCACTAGTGACTAGCTTTGTGAGGAAATTCTCGGAGTTCTAGTTGAGAAGACGTGATCAATGGAGTTCAACCCTGTCGGGTGTAGGCAGTAACTACCAAAGACAAATGGGTGAGGTCGCGCAAAATCCCTAGATCAATCAGAGTTAGACATTAACACCGTTGGATACCGGCCCAGTGGTCCGATGGTTAGGCGTTCGCGCACAATACCGAAGGTCCTGGGTTCGAAACCTGCGAGGAGCAGGAGTCGTGGATGCGCACTGCTGATGACTCCATACCAGGACGAAACAGCCGTCCAGTGCTTCCAGGTTTCTAATGGTGATCTAAAAATGAATGTTATTGATTTATGTTATTGATTTAGTACATTTATCAATAGATGAATTTCATTGTTCAATAGTTTAGATTTAACTCAGAATAGGTTTGTAATCATTCATACTTTGACATAGTTTGGGAATCCACCAGAAGGCGAATTAAAGTTTCTCTGTGTTACTGTTAAACCATTGGACTTTAGTCAAATGGCCATATTTTTTTTGAGATAACGCTTATATAATTTAGTATTCTTAATGATTTTGATTAAGTTCTTTTTAAATTTCATCAAAATATTCATCTTATAATATGTATATTTGATTTTGTTTTAACAGAGTCAGAAATTAGGACTGATTGTTCAAAGTGAAATGCGTCATAATCGTTATTTTATTCAATTAATACCTGATTCTAAATTACATTCACGTTTTAAAAATCGTCTCTTAGATATCGCCGCATATTTAGAACGTGGAAATGTAACAATGGAAACTATTGAATTATTTAATAATGGTCTGATTGGTAATACATTAAGAAATTCATTAGGAATATTAACAAATGATAATTTCAAATCACTAAGTGAAGGTATGAATGCATTTTATCTAGCTGATTTAGTTGTTAGGTAAGTAATTGTGAGTTGATAGCTGATTAATAGTTATTATTATTATTATTGCTTTTCATAAGCGAATAACCTATGCACAGCTTTATACACATGTATATATTTATATGTAATAACTAATCTAGACAGAGATTTTCTAGTAGTAACTGTCGTAGTGATTTAAATGCTTCACTTACTCTAGTTTAACATCCTTTTCGAATTTCTCATCTACTAGCCGGCTTAAGATAAGTAATCGCTTTGCTTTTGCAACAAAATACATGAATAAAATCATTCAGATTAATATGCTGTTGGGAACTGATATAAATTTTAAAAAAAACAAACTAATTTAAACCAGATATTATTCGACAGTGTTTCTTTTTCTGGTCAGAAATTCCACAAGAGGATTCAACCTCCATCCTACAAGCAATAGATCTTACGGAATACAACATATCTCAGTACTTATAATATTAAACTATAAACCTGAAGTCCAGTAGTTATAATATTTGCATTCAAGAATCAGTTCTTTAACAACACTTGACTACATTCTACATGTAAAAAACCACTTATATATAATATACATTTAAATGAAATTAAGTTAAACGTGATATACACTGATTTCAAATTTATTTTATGCTTTTTAACTATTTAACAAATTTCAACATATCTATCTATTTCTTTTCTTTTTCAATACATTATATTTGTGATTTCTAAGAGATTTCGGTACACATTGTATCAATTCAATTCATGCTGGAGGTGTTTTAGCAAAAATTGACACATTAGACACAAATTCATTAAATATTAAAAAAGAAGATCGATGGCATTTAGGTGCATCAGCATCATCAAGTTTTGCTAATCTTTTCAATGTGAAACTATCTGCATCTCTAAACAATAATAACTCTGTGGTAAGTTTTGTTCTTTTTTTTTTCTACTTCAGTGATAGAATGTCTTATAATGTTCATTATAATATTGTTCATTTGGTTCCCGCATATAGGACAAAACATGAGTCTCTGATTCAACTAGCAATCATTCTCCATTTATTCTACGGAAATATGCCCAAAACAGATCAAATTTAATTCGGAAATGTTTAGTGACAGGATAACCCAACCTAATACACACTGAATTAAATCATACACAATAGCTTTAACACTAATTTACACAACATCATTCATCAAGTTACTAGTGAATTTCGACAACTATTCATTAGGAAATTGACTGTATTCAATAATTACTTGAATACCAGTTAGACAGTATAGAATATGTGTAATGTCATGAAATATTAGTTCTGGTCAATAGTCAACAACATTTTATTTCTAAAGTTCAATAGATTAGTAAGACATATTTAATCTGTATATTGATTTTCACTAGATATATGACAAGGCTAATTTAAATACGACAGGATTGGGATGTACTATGGTTTAGACATCTTTGTGACAATACTAATTTATGTCTCATATATTATAGTTTGAATAAACATTTGAAAAAGTTCGTTTTTACGCTCACTATATTAATGTAATTTAAATGATATGTTGTGAGTACTATTTTCAGTTCATTTTGGTAAAAAATGTGTGCATTACGGGGTTGTGAAGATTGTTAAGTTACACATTTTCGAAACCATGAATTGATCAATGTTGGACCACCATTAGAAACCTGGAAGCACTGGGCGACGCAAACGCCTAACCTCTGGAGTTCGCGCACAATACCGGAGGTCCTGGGTTCGAATCCTGTGGGGTGCAGGGGTCGTGGATGCGCATTGCTGATGAGTCCCATACCAGGACGAAATGGCCGTCCAGTGCTTCCAGGTTTCTAATGGTGGTCTAACACTGATCGACTCATGGTTTCAAAAATGTGTAAAAGAAATGTGTTCCACTGACTAATCAGTATATTTACTTCACAAGGGTTTATCGGATTTTAGGCTGAAAATGTTTTAAACTTGAAATTAAGAGTGAAAATTCATGTACACTGTTTTCAATCAAGTGATATTAACTGACCGTCAGGAATGACCTAATAATTCAAAAGTCTAGTACTTCAACTATAATGCTGTAAATTTACATAGCTGTAACTTTTTGCTTAAAAAGTTGATGGCCTGTTGGATTATTCTAAGTGATCAATTATTATCCGTTTTGTTCCAATTGGGTAATACATAAACTAATTGTACTTTTATGAAACACTTTCAACCACTGTTAGATATTGATTGTTGTTCACGTATCTTCTGTTCATCAAAACGTTTAGCCTTCATTTTGACAACAATATATCTACACCAAGGATTATTCACATTATCTTACTCTTAACACTGCTGAACTGTATTTAATTTTATCAATAATTAAAGATATTTTAAGATATGTTAAAAGACATTAAAATAATTAACAATTTATCAATAAAATAAATCCACTTTTATCCACTGAAATTAAAAAGTAATGAAAAAAATAACATAAAAGCTTGTAAATGTATGATGATGTTGTGCAAAACTATTATGATCATATCTTCAAGTAACTATTTATATGGACTCATCTAGAGATTTTATAGCCGAGTGATTTTATTAGATGACGAATCAACAAACACCGATCAATGACCGAATGATGTATCTCAGAAAAAATAAGCAATAAAAATAGGTTGGGATTTTTTTACAGTTACTCCACAATAGTTAAGACTGAATAAATGTTATCACTGTTTAGACTATTACCAGTTATTTACCTTATCACAAATACAACAAACGTTTAACATGAATATAATATCGATTACTCATAAAGATCAAGATATGTATGTACCTTAAAGTGTAATGGACAAATGAAGTAAGTGATGAGAACTTAGGTAATCATAACAGTAAGTAAACAGATTATGTCCAACAATTTGATTAATCCTTTCGGCTTACATTCACTCCAGTGAATTCTAACGTTCTCATGTAAAAGAACAACTTTCGAATACTAATAGCAATAAAGAAGAAATGTCTACGACAGTTTAGAAGCTTACTGAGTGACACCTTGTTGTTAAAAGTAGTGAGCGACAAGATCGAGAATCTGAGTAATCAAATGGTAAACATGTACCTGGACACCAAACAATATCGTGTTAATAATTCTTTAGTAGGTTTATTGATGTGATTGACAGTATTTATTTAAGTATTAAAAATCCCAATATTTCTATTAGAATGACATTTATTAGCAAACAGTATTGTGTTCAGTCAGATCATCAAGCTTTTCTCTAATATACAATAGTTTTACATGCATATATGAAATTATTAAACCAATGAAGTCAATATATGAGCGAGTGATGACACTGGAATAAAATGTATAAAATGGTAGTGTGACGAAAGGTGTTCTGGTTACAATAGGAATAATAACAAATTTCCACGAATTTCAAACCTAAAGGCATGAGCTCTAAGTTCTTTGCCTTTAGTTTTAAGGTGACAATAAAATGTTATTAATTCAGACATACTTTTTTCACTTAGGGTAAACGATCTCGACAGATACATAAAAACAAAATACATGATTATTTTAGTCATCACATAACGCTTACTCGCAAAGGTTTTGAGTAGTATACAATTAAACCCCAATTTAATTGTTTGTTTATACGGATATCTGTTTGCTGAGATTAGCTCAACTGACAATAGCTTTCATTATAGGTTAAACAATCAATATGTACTTGACAGTTTTTAACAGTTCTCAAGCTAATATCGATTCGTAAAGAGAAAATTTTAAACTTTTATAATTTTTCGCTCTTTATACTCACGAAATTTTTTGAGTAATAACACTAATTTTATTAGTTTTATGATAATTTCCAAACTTTTATCAAGCTATTTATCAAATGGAGCAATTATCTAAACAGATAGCTGATTAAAACCATTTTTATTTTTCTTTAAAAGAATCTGTTTCATAACGTATTGTTGTTTAAGCATTTTCGAATTTGTAATTCTCATGTACTTACTAACTTACTTACACCAGTTACCCCAATGGAGCATAGGCCGCCCACCAGTTTTCACCAATCAACTCTGTCCTAAGCTTCCATTTCCACTTCTGTCCAATGTTTGTTCATTCCTCTCATATCTTTCTCTATTTCTCTGCGTAATGAGTTCCTTGGCCTTCCTCTTTTTCTTACAGCTTCAGGGTTCCATGTGAGGGCTTGTCTCGTGATGCAGTTAGGTGCTTTACGTAGTGTGTGTCCAATCCACTTCCACCGCTTCCTTCTGATTTCCTCCTCCACTGGAATCTGGTTTGGTCTCTCTAACAGTAACTCGCTGCTGATGGTGTCTGGCCAACGAATCCGAAGTATTTTGCGAAGACAACTGTTCATAAACACTTTTATCTTCTGGATGATGGATTTGGTAGTTCGCCAAGTTTCCGACCCATACAGTAGAACTGTCTTGACATTTGTATTGAAAATGCTGATTTTGGTTTTGGTTGGAAGTTGTTTGGAGTTCCAGATATTTCTCAACTGTAGAAATGGAGTCCTTGCTTTGACGATCGGCACCCTCACATCTGCATCGGATCCACCTTCATTGTCGATGATGCTGCCCAGATATGTAAAGGTGTTAACGTACTCCGAGGCGTGTCCATCAAGAGTGATTTGGTTGGTGCATGTTGTGTTGCATCGGAGAACTTTGCTTTTTCCTTTATTTATGTTGAGACCTACTGCTGCAGAAGCTGCTGCTACACTGGTCGTCTTCTCTTGCATTTGTTGTTGAGTGTGCGATAGAAGAGCCAGGTCATCCGCGAAGTCCAGATCGTCCAGCTGCGTCCTAACTGTCCAGTTGATACCGTGCTTCCCTCCAGATGTTGACGTTTTCATAATCCATTCGATCACCAGGAGAAACAGAATGAGTGTGAGTAAGCAACCTTACATGAAACCGGTCTGCACCTCGAAAGATTCTGTTAGCTGTCCTTTATGTACGATTTTGCAGTTGGATCCATCACAAGAATTCGGCATGATGTTAACTATTTTCTCAGACACACCGTAGTGTCAAAGAAGCCTCCACAGTGTTTTCCTATCCACGCTATCGAATGCTTTCTCGCAGTCGATGAAGTTGATGAAGAGTAGTGAGTTCCATTCAATTTATTGTTTCACAATGATCCGTAATGTTGCAATTTGGTCAGTACACGATCAATCCTTACGAAACCCAACCTATTGATCTCGAAGTTGGGCGTCTACGAAATCAGTCATTCTGTTCAACAAAACTCTGTTGAACACTTTTCCTGGTACTGAGAGAAGAGTGATGTCTGTGTAGTTCTCACACTTGCTGAGATCGCCTTTCTTTGGTATTTTGATCAGGTATCCTTCTTTCCAATCTGATGGTACTTGTTCCTCATCCCAAATCTTCTTGAAGAGGATGTGAAATATTTTCGCAGTTGCTTCCACATCTGCTTTCATTGCCTCTGCTGGAATGTTGTCTGGTCCTGCTGATTTGCCGCTCTTGATTTGTCTGATGGCCATACCGATCTCCTCAATTGTAGGAGCGCCAACATCGATTGGGAGGTCCGTGGATGTTGCTTTGGTGTTCAGTGGGTTGAATGAAGCTGGTCGATTCAAGAGTTCCTGAAAGTGCTCTACCCACCTATTTCGTTGTTCTTCAGTGTTGCTGATTACTTTGCCTTCCTTGCTTTTCACTGGTCGTTCAGGTTTACGATAGATTCCAGAGAGCTTTTTTGTTGTATCGTACGATTGTCTCAAGTTTCCGTCCCTTGCAGCCTTTTCCGCCGTCATTGCTAGATCTTCCACATATTTACTTTTGTCGGCTCTGATGCTCCTCTTCACTTGCACCTCCAGGTTGTATATTTTCATCACTGCAGCAATTCTGAACAGTCTTCAGGTCTCCACATATTTCGTTTGTCAGCTCTGATGCTCTTCTTCACTTCCATGTTTGTTTCTGTGTATTCAGTATGTGCCTTGACTCTCTCTGCTCTTGTTTGGCTGA